TACACTGTCAGAGTTCCTATTGTTGATCTACTAGAGGTAAGAGGGGAAGCTGTCACATCCTTCTCTTTGCAAATATTTAAGATACACATCTGAGACCCAGACCAGAGAGCACTCACCAAACTCTTTCTCATGATATAAAACCATACTCACTGCCATCAAGTCAATTCCAACTCACAGTGACCCCCTTTGGGCTTCTGAAGCTGTAAATCTTTATGCAAATAGATCTTCCTTCCACAGAGTGGCTGGTGGGTTTGAACCACTGACCTCTGGTTAGCAGCCAGATGCCTTATCCACTACACCTCCAAAGCTCCTTTTCTCATAGTATAGTATGATGCAAATGCAAAGGGCTCCAATCATAGCAAGTCTTCCCTGGCATGCTTTACAAAGCTCGGTTATTCTAAATCTAAGACGGACAGAACAGTCACCCACTGAGCCCTGCCCTGAACTTGTTTCTGGAATGAAGGAAGGTGTTTCTGCCTTCAGTATTTCTCACCACATTCCCTTTGCCCTCTTTCCCAACTTCTGCTTAGGAGAGATGGTGGCTTTGACCATAGACAGAAGGTAGAAGAGGCAAAGTTCATTAACAAAAACTGTTATCACTCCTGCCCCCCTACTCTGTATCTGTTCCTAATGCCACATTTCTACCTTGATAGAAATATGTTTGAGATGGGAAAGCCCTACACTGGACTTAATATTATCTTGATTTAAGGAGGCAATCTAGATCAAAGCACCTTTATTTCAAATTGTCCCTTTATTTGGCAGCCTGAAACTTTTTTACTTCCCAGAACACTGCACCAAATAAGTTTCAGATTCGGAAAGAAGGAAGCCTTTCTTTTTAAACAAGGAGGAGAACAAGGGCTTTCTCACTGCAGGTAAATTTTAGGAATGGGTACTAGAAATTGATTCTTTTAGAGTTGTAAGTGCCCAGGTACTCTTAAAAATCTTCAGATGTCCTTGGGGGTACAAGTAACCCAGTTCAAAGAGCCCACCTGAAGCCAAATAAATGTATCTTCTGGTGGCAAAGCACAAGCATCGAGGGATGCAAATAGGAATGATAGTCTAGGAGTGGACCTATCAAATCACATCACGGAGCTGCCACTCATACTGAGCATAAGATGTGTCTTAAATATAGTCAATGATTTTTTGAGGCAGCGTTAGCTGACTGACACTTAGGACATACTCCCTCTAGTGAGCAGCCCTGGCCTGGATCTGACATATCACAGGCCTGATTACAGCCTAAGTACAATCATGAAGTGGGAAAAACCCTTATTCTTTCCTCTCCTTCATTCCTCCCTACCTGTGATACCTGCAGGCCTCACACTATCATTCTTCTCTACCAGCTTATTATTTAAAGAGATCTGAGTGCCTTTGTTAACACTGATGGAGAGCAGCTTAAACTATGACTTTGGCAAGGAAAATTTGCTTTCTAAAAGCTATAAACCAAAATTGCAGACATTTCTATAACATAGTCACAATATTTGCCATACTCTTATGCTACATCTATCCCCCACCCCCTGCCCTTCTAAATTGGCTAATCTTTCTACTTCTACAAACTTATTTTAAAAGGAAAACCATTGTATACCTAACATATGAATCTTCCTGCTATCAGGCCACGATTCCCTGGAAAGAAGAGACAGAGACAAAATCCTGAGTGGATTAGCTTATTTGAGAATGTGAGCCCAGGAGTGCAGGGCAAGGGTTGTGAAACAGGGAAGAAGGGAAAGCTAGTGCACAGATACCTAAACAAGTTAGCCACTGCTAGAGTCAACTGGGAGCTCTGGTAGCATAGTGCCTAAGGCACTTGACTGCAAACCAGAAGGCTGGCGGTTCAAACCCACCAGCCACTCCTTGGAAGGAAGATGGGGGTATCAGTAGTGATACCACCTCTGAAACCCAAGGAGGGGTCGCTATGAGTTGGGTCCGACTCGATGGCACATAACAAAAACAACAACAACAGAGGCAAATGTACTTGATCCCATGGACTTTTTAGGGGGGACGTGTCAGGAGGGGGGAGGGGACTCATGAAATGTGTCTCAGAACTCTCCCTTTGGAAGGAAAAAGGAGAAGGGATTTCTCTATCAACTCCCAATTCACATTGGTCAAGGACAGCCCCACAGACCTTAATGTCCCCATACATCCAGGACGCACATGCTTCAGGGCTTCCAAGTATATCCTATGCCAAGGCAATAGAGAAGTCCCAGGGCCACAAGCACACAGGCAAGGTATTGTTAGGTTAAACCTGTGCAAAACTGGTCAACTGGTCCAGCAGGGTCAGAGCTGCTGAGTATACTGCTGAGTATACCCAACGCATACTCCAGAATTATTCTGTATAGGAGGAGCACAAGGATGGTGAGCTGGTTGGAAATGTAGGAGATAGAGGATGAGAGGATTTATTTTACACCTATGTTTGCTGCAGGGGCTTGGAGGCATGAGATGGAGATTATGGAGTGAGGAGACTACACTTTTCCCAACCCCACCCCTTGGTGCTATCATTGTGCTCACCTGAGGCCCACTCTACCATGATTAAAGTGACTGGGATACATGTCCAACATGGCGGCCAAGAGCCCACCCTGTGAAGGTGGGGAAGAGTGGGGAGTGCAGGTGAGGGTGTCCTTGTGAGCTGAGTGTTCTCCAAAAAAGTGTTCACTCCCTGTGGGATCTATGGCCTACTCCTGCAGTGGGGAAAATGACTAAGGAGAGTAAATCTGATGCTAAAGCAAAATGAAACTAGTACCGAAACAGCCAGCCAGAAATGTAAAAGTCACGTTCCACGCTGCCAGGCAAAGCCAACTGTCCTGGGTCTCCCACTTCAGAGGCACCATTCTGCCCTCTCCCCAAGGCTGCCCAAAGCACAATGCTCAGTTTTTCTTTTTGCATAATTATGAAGGAGGAACGAAGTGTGGTTTCCGCAGGCCACACCCGCCAAGGAGGTGACTGATAGAAAGGGGCAGGCAGAATTAGCTTCCTCAAACCACATTTCTAAAACTAAAGCCATTCCTGCATTGACTTACGTATTTCTAGGTGAAGAAGACTCAGATTCTCTACCAAATAAAAAAGGAAGTTGTAAGAGGAAATACCACCCCTTTGACATATCAGTCCCTGAAAAGCTGAGTGGTTTGCCATTATTTTGGAGGCAGCAAGAAAAGAACACCACAGAAACGGAGTCTCACCCTTTGATTTTTATCACAAAAGAAAAAGAGAACTTTTTCTTCAAGTACTGTAAGTACCTTTACTGTTATCTTAGTATCAGATAACTTGGTATAACTTGCTACTAACAACCTGACTTCTTTTTAAACAAACACACCCTCACTACTGCCTCTGAGAGGAATGTTGTTAGCAGCCATCGGGACAGCCCTACTCATGGGTACCCCCCATGCACAGCAGATAGGACCGTTGTGATTTTCTTTGGCTGGTTTTTCAAAAATAGATCACCAGGCCTTTCTCCTTAGTTTAGCTTAGTCTGGAAGCTCCACTGAAACCTGTTTAGCATCCTAGCAACATGCAAGCCTCCACTGACTGACAGATGTGTGGTGGCTGCCCAGGAGATGTATTGCCAGGACTCAAACTCAAGCCTCCTATATGGAAGGTCAGAGTTCCCCTGCTGAACCAGCCACTGTCCACCCTCCCTCCCCCATGCCCCAAACCCCCATACCCCATGCAAATACTGGCCCTGAAAGGAGGCTTCTCAGGGTTTCTTATTTCCAGGGAGACTGCAGCTTCCCAAAAAATTTGGAAAATCACTAAATCACTATCAGAGGTGTGGTCCATTTCTTTTCAGTTTCCTAGATGGTTACAAATAGGAATTTTGTAGGCTAAATTGAGTTTTTAAGCCACTAAAATTCTTGTGAAGAAGTGTATTCAAGCTAATCTTGGTTAAAATGGAGTGTGGCTAATGAAATAATCTGGTGTGACTGGACACCTGGCTCTGGGGGAGGAAGGGTTCCCAAAGAGGAGCTCCAAACACCTTCTGAGCAGCACCACGGGACTAAGTCTATAGTAGCAGCCAGAGAGAACCATTTTGAGCAAGTTTCATTTTCTTCCTAAAGTTTGATATATTTACTGAAAGAAAAAATCAACTTCTTCACATTATAGTATATAATATAAATAAGTAATTTTGCAGAGCGTGTCCTTTTTTATCCCCTTTTACTGACAGACTTTCTGTTGATTTGGGTTGTCTGCATTTAAAATGTTAAGTGCCGTTTAAGAACCAAGATACTTGGCTTCCTATGTTAATATGTTAAGTGTTGTTGTTGTTATGTGCCGTTGTTGGGTCTGTTAAGAAGGAAGTTGTTTTCCCACTTAAGGCCTGCCTTATACAGAATATGGCCTCCCTGGTTGCTCTGTATTTCTTGGTATGTTCTGAAGGGGATCTGAACTTTCTTGAGTTGGCTAACTGATATGGAGTGTGCTTACAGCTCTCCGTGTTTTCAACAGTCTCTCTTGAATGAGAGACATTCCACAGAAGAGCCGTTGCTGGTTCTCCCAACACTACAAGGCAAGGCCACCTTCCAACAGAATTCAGCCTACCTTTGCTTTTCCCTCATGGTCATGACTGGGTTTAAAGGTCTCCTACTCATTTCAGGCAGGCAACTAGGGAAGTTTACAACCCATGGTAGGTAGACCCTCCATCCTGAGTGGCTTTTACATACATTTATTTTTCCTTTCTAGATTATTAAAATAAGTTTACAACCTTTTGCATGCAGGGGTTTGGAGACTCAGATACACTCTAAAACTCACTACCACTGAGTTGGATCTGATTCATAGTGACCCCTCTTTGGGTTTCTGAGGTGATATCACTACAGAAGTAGATTGCCCAATCTTCCTTCAGATACACTATCTAGCTACTAATCCATGTATTTTGCAAATGTCACTGGAGAATTCTTGATGGGGGACAGTTGAATTGTCTTCTGCCCTTGCCTGTGTGGGAGGTCTGGGAGGTGCCCAGGTCTTACTCGGCTCTAACTGATTTGCTTTCCTTTCACTCCTAAGTATCTGAAGCGATGGCTCACACACTGATGTGGGGAACACTGCCACCCCATTGGCCACACTTCAAGCTCTTTCACCTCTTAGTGTTGGCTGGTCTTTTTCACTTCTGTTCAGGTAAGCAACTTTCAGGAATGTACCTAAGTCTACCGTTACAGGGTTAAGAGAAAGGAGATGATGTTTCCAATGCTGCCTGCTTCTGTCACCTTGTGAACAAAAAGGGATCTTCAGGGTGTTTCCAGTCCATTTTAGGCATGAGAAAACTGAAGCCCAGAAAGGTTAAAGCAAGTAAGTCACCAAGTTAACCCAAGAACCCAGATCTTAAAGACAGGGCAGGCCAGTGTTATTTTTAAAAAACCCATAAAGCAGATTCAGAAGATCAGCTCAGAGTTGCGTTCTCTTCCGGTCAAAGTAGGTGCTCATTTACATTTGGATTTGCTCAAGGTGTTGTTGTGCGGTGGTTAAGTATATGCTACAAAGGGACAGGTCAGCAGTTTGAACCCGCCAGCCAGCCACTCCATGGGAGAAAATGTAATTTGCTTCCATAAATGTTATAGCCATGGAAACCCTATGAGACAGTTCTATTTTGGCCTACAGGGTTTCTATGAGTCACAATCTGCTCAAATGCACACAACAACAAGGGTGTTGGCCTAGCGCTTTGATTCCCAAGCTATGTGTATGAAGCAGCTCAGCTAAGTGTTCTGCCTATAAAATTGAACAATGATGATCTTTCTAAATTGAAGGGAGAAAAAAGGAGCTGTGGAACATAATTTTCTTTTTTTAGCTATCTCTCAAATTTTTCTTTTGAAAAATTTCAAGCCAAGAGTGAAGTTGAAAGAATAGTGACCTAGATGCACTGATTATTAACATTTTGCCACATGTGCTTTCTGAACATCATTTTCTTAATATGAATTTTTCTCTTAATATCTGTTGGTTATGTGTTTGGGTGCTGATATTCTTTGTCAATACCAGCATCTGACATTTAGTGGTATCAAATTTAGGACAAAATTATATTTCTAGTTATTTTTAGTAGACTGCATTTACTGTATTTCAGGAGTGTTTCCCTTCTATAGGGACTTTTATTCCAGCACTGGTGGTCTTAAGGATCTGCCAGACTTAGAGGAATCTCAGGAAGGATGGTGCACCATGCTGACAGGATAGTATTCTTTTCTATTATTATTTAATTTTATCTATTTTGTTGATATTGAGAATATATACAGTGAAACATGCACTGATTCAATAGTTTCTTCATGTAAAATTTGTTGTTGTTGTTGTTATGTGCCGTCGAGTCAGCCCCGACTCATAGCGACCCCTCCTTGGGTTTCCGAGGCAGTATCACTACGGAAGTAGGATTGCCCAACCTTCCTTAGTGACATTGATTACATTCTTTGAGTTCTGTAACCATTCTCATCCTCTTCTTCTGAGTTGTTTCCCTCTCATTAACATAAACTCACTGCCCCCTAAAGAAGGAGGGTATCCTTTTTTAAAGTCCAAAACAGAAAGGTGATTCCCCTAAGCTGCAGACCTCCTGGTTTCCCCAAAACAGAGGAACCCTTTGGCTGTAGCACAGTTTGATAGCCTGCAATGACCCAACGAGCAAAGGTCTTTGTCTTAAAAGCTGCTTGTTTTCTTTTATTTTTTCTCTTTATTGTGGTTTTGGGGAGTTTACAGAGCAAATTAGCTTTCCATTCAACAATTCATACACATTTTGTTTCATAACATTAGTAGCAATCCCTCACTGTAACAGCATTTTTCCCATTTCCTCCCTGGGTTCCCTGTTTCCATTCATCCTTCTTTGCTGCCCCTCCTCCTGCCTCTGAGCTTGTTTTTAGGTAAATGCTGCCCTTTTGCTCTAGTATAGTTGATTATATTGAGGATTACGTTCCTTCCCAATGTTATCATTCACTTTATAGGTCTATTATTTGACTGAAAGTTGTTCCTTGAGGATGGGTTCATTTCCAAGCTTGAGGGTATCAAAGGGCCACAGTCCCCGGGTTACTACCAGTCTCTATCAGAGGAGTAAGTCTGGCCTTTTTTACAATTTTGAATTTTGTTCTATATTGTTTTCTCCCTCTCTGTCCAGGAGTGAAAGAAAATATTGTGATCCTGATCAGAACAGTCAATAGCAGTAGCTGGGCATCATCTCATTCTTCTGGGCTCAGGGTAGTGGAGGCTGTGACTTGCAATGGCCTATTACCCCTTTGGACTAATATTTTCCTTGAGTCTTTGATTTTCTTCACTCTTCTTTGCTCCAGACAAGGAGAGAACAATGGTTACTTCTTAGATGGCTGCTTGCAAGCTTTTAAGACCCCAGATGCTGCTTCCCAGTGGTTAACTACCTGGCTACAAAGGGAAAGGTCAGCAGTGTTCCCAGTAGAACACTGGTTTTGTGGATATGTTATGCCAATTGACCTAGATGTCCCTCGAGATTGTGGTCCTAATTCCCCAAGCCCAATGCTCATTCCCTCAAGGTGTTTGGTGATAGATAAGAAGTTTTCAGAACTTTGCCTCCTGTATGTTCTACAATATTTTTGGATGTAGTTTCCACTCATACATACTTATGTGTAGAAATATCCTCTGCCAAACTTGTGGGTATGCTCCTATTTGCCTTCTCACATCTGTCCAGCTTGCATGTCTACCTATGTATCTACTCATAAACATTGTTTATAACTATTATTTCAGGAGTGTGTGTGTGATAGTAGTTACCTCTGCTCTCTTTTACACTTGTGTGCCTCCCAGTGATTTCCTTTGCCATCTGTCATGCTGTGCTGCCCTCCTCCTTATTGTATATTGCCTTTCCTTTCACCTAAGTTAATACATATCTAGTCTTTAGTTAGTGACTTACCTCCCTTCGTCTCCCATCCCTGGTAACCATCAAAGACTATTTCTTTCTGTGTGTAAACCTTTTCTTGACTTTTTATAGTAGTGGTCTCATACAATATTTGACCTTTTGTGTTTGACTTATTTCACTCAATATAATGTCCTCCAGGTTCATCCATGCTATGAGGTTTTTCATGGATTTTTTGTTATTCTGTAACATTGTGTAGTATGTCACTGTCTGTATGTACTATATATATACCATACTGTATCCATTCATCCACTGATGGGCACTTAAGCTTGTTTCCATCTTTTTGCTATTGGGAATAATGCTGCAGTGAACACGGGGTGTTCATATATCTATCTGTGTTCTAACTTTTATTTCTCTAGTATATATACCTAGTAGTGAGATTGCTGGATCATATGATACTTCTATTTCAAACTTGTTAAGGAAGCACCATATCATTTCCACAGTACTTGTACCATTTTACAATCCCACCAGTAGTTTAAGAGAATTCCAATCTCTCCACACCCTCACCAGCATATGTTGTTTCTTGGGTTTTTGAACTTTGCTGTTACTGCTTGGGTGAGATGATATCTCATTGTTGCTTTAATTTGCATCTCTCTAATCATTAGCATAGTGCCTAAGGCACTTGACTGCTAACCAGAAGGCTGACGGCACATAACAACATCAATAACAATGGCTAATGATCGTGACCATTTCTTCACATTTTCTGGCCGCTTGTATGTTTCCTTTGGTGAAGTGTCTGTTCATGCCCTGTGCCCATTTCTTAATAGGATTGTTTGCCTTTTTGTTGTTGAGGTGTTGAAGTTTTCTATAAGTTTTAGCATCCCTTGTCATATATTAGATTAGACATGACGGAGCTCTGGTAGCATAGTGGCTAAGACACTTGACTGCTAACCAGACGGCTGGCAGTTCAAACCCACCAGCCACTCCTCGGAAGGAAGGTTGGGCAATCCTACTTCCATAGTGATACTGCCTCGGAAACCC